GTCATGCTCAACTTACTTTGCATTGTCCTCGCGAACTTCTCCGTCCTCGCGTCGCCAACGTGCGGGCCAACCGACGAACCGACCGTAGGCTGGGTGCAGCACGGTGGTGATTTCTCCAAGTGTGACAATCAAGGTCCCGACCAGCTCTCCCGTGTCGCGAATGTCCTCGCCTGTGAGGCCATGGCGGTTAGCAGGGGCGACGTCTACTTCAACTTCAATTTTCAAATGACAGGGGCCGGTGACTACAAATGCTTCACGTCAAATGCCTGCCCAGGACGGGATGCCACGGTAGACTGCTGGAGGTCGTACATCAAACGCAGCGCTTTGACGCCGCTCTCTCCGCCCAGCCCCGCCCTGCCTCCGCCGCTCTCTCCGCACAGCCCCGCCCTCCCTCCACCGCTCTCTCCGCCCAGCACCGCCCTGCCTCCGCCGCTCTCTCCGCCCAGCACCGCCCTGCCTCCGCCGTTCCCAGCTCTGCCACGCTTGCCGCCGCTTCCCTCGCGATCCCGTGACAGCAGCCCCTCCCCTCCGGCGCTCCCCCCTTCGCCCTCCCCGTCCACGTTGCCCCCCCCACCAACTTTGGCTCCCGCTCCGATGTTGCAAAATAACGTTCTCTTCTTCGTCATGGACGATCTGCGACCCGACCTCAATGAGGCCTATGGGCAGACGCAAGTGATCACTCCAAACTTAGACGCCTTTGCGAAGAGGTCACTCACCTTTGAGCGTGCATATGTCCAGTTCTCCCATTGTTCGCCCTCACGATCAAGCTTCATGACAGGGCGCACGCCACAGCAAACTCAAGTCTACAACTTCGTCTCCTCCTTCAGAACGGTTGGCCGGGATTGGGTGACCCTTCCGCAGTACTTCAAGGACAACGGGTACTACGTGGCGGGTGGTGGAAAGCTCTTTCATCCAGACAGCAGTGGTCCTCCCCTAAACAACGACCAACCTTTGAGCTGGGACAGCTACTACTTCCCCAACGACCCAGAGGATAAGAAGTATGCATGCAATGAGTCCACCCAGCTCTACTTTGGGGTGTGTCCCTCCGAGGAAAGCGCTGACTCCTTCTTTGACGCGCAGCTTGCGGCGGCGGCGATGGATGAGCTCGTTGTCGCAAGGGATAGCGGGAAGCATTGGTTCCTTGGCGTCGGCTTCGAACGCCCCCACAGACCGTGGAACACGCCTCGAGAGTTCTACGACCTCTACCCGAACAGCGGCAATGCTCCTACGGATATCGCCCTCGACTAACAAATTAGGCCCCTTGCACATGCCCGAGATTGCGTGGATATCGAACAAATGGCCTTGCAGCCTGGAGAGATGGGGCGCGTGCTCCACCCTGGACCAGACCGGGCATTTCACATTCAGCCAGTATGAGCCCATCCCCGACAATCTTGCTGGGCTCGCCAGGTGGGGCTATTACGCCTCCGTCTCGTTCGTCGACTCCAACTTTGGGCTAGTCATGAGTAAACTCGAAGAGCTCAATATGGCCTCCAACACGATCGTCTCTGTCATCGGCGACCACGGATGGCACCTGGGGGAGCAGGCGGAGTGGTGCAAGCGAACCAACTTTGAGCTTGGGACACGCATACCGATGATGATTCACGCCCCGAACTATCCGACCAGCCATGGGAAAAGAACGGAGCACTTTGCCGAGGCGGTAGACTTGTACCGCACGCTCGCTGCTTTGGCATTCCCCGCATCTCCGCCGATACAAGACAGCGTGAGCGGCACCGACCTTTCACCCATCTTCGCCGACCCCACGAATCCCTCGACTGCCGTTCGGGCTTACACCTTCTCCCAGATGTCGAGATGCCCCGCCGAAGACACACTAGGACCATTTTCGAGCTGCACTCAAACACCCCAGGCAGAAATCACTTGGATGGGCTACAGCGTGCGTTCAGAGCAGTACCGTTACACTCTGTGGCTGCCGTTTGACGGAGATGAAAATCTGGCCGCGTGGTCTGGCACCGATGAACACGAGGAGCTGTACTCGTACGTCGACAGCAAGATGGACGACTTCAACTCCTTTGAGAAGGTGAACGTGGCGTCCGACCCGATGTATACCGTGAAGAAGGCGGAGCTGCGCGCCGTTCTTACAGCGGCATTCAACCCGCCCCCCCCTCCCGCCCAAACCTCGTCAAAGCCCGCCCTCATCGGCGGCATCGTCGGTGCGCTCTGCTTCCTCGCAGTGCTGGCGTGCTTCCTGGCCTGCCGCAAGCATGGGCGACTCCGATGGAAGAAGTGATCGCCCAGAGCAGGAGCTACGCGCGCGCGCACACACACACACAGAAAAGAAGCGAACAAGCGGATCGATTTCTTTTCGAAAAACTGTTTTTGCAGTCCGATGACGACTCCACGCGCTGCGCTCGAGGCCGCGCTCGGCGCGGAAGGCGTCGCCACGCTCGACGACGCGGGCGTCGGAGACTACATCGAAGGCCTCCTCGGTGACGCCGACACGTCGGGCGATGGCGACGACGACCTTCTCGCCTCCATCGCGCCGCTCCTCGTGGACGTCGGCGTGGCAGCAGACGAGGAGGCTGCAGAGCCGCTCGCACGCTCGCTGCTCTCCGCGATGCGCCCTGCGGCAGCAGAGGCGGCGGCGGCGGGATCTGCGCGCAGCTCCAACGTGGGCGGCGGCCCGCCGCGCCTCCTCTCCGAATCGGTCAGCCTCCAGGGCGAGGATGGCGCGCAGTTGTTCAAGGCGCCCGAGGAGTACGAGCTAGGCGGCCGCCTGGTCGGCATCGACGAGGCGATGGACGAGCGGAAGAAGCGCAAGGCGCAGCGCGAGGAGGAGCGGAGAGCCACGCGCAAGGCGCACGACAAGGTTGCAGAGCAGCGGGCGAGGGAGGAGGCGCTGCTCGAGGAGGCTCGCGTGGCGGCGGTGCGGCTGCGGAGAGAGCGGGGCGCGTACCTCGGCGCGGTCGAGGCGAAGCCCTTCTCGCTGCCCAACCCGGGCGGCGGCGCCGACCTCCTCGAGGGCGCCACCTTCACCCTGCAGCGAGGCCGCCGGTACGGCCTCATCGGCCGGAACGGGAGCGGCAAGAGCACGCTGCTGCGCTCGCTCGCGTCGCGACAGCTCGGCGACATCCCCGCGGCGCTGACCATCCACTACGTCTCGCAGGCGCGGAGATGCAGTCTTGGTGTAGGACCTGCTCGTATCATTCTATCACAATCTGACCATCCAACCACATCTTGCGCCAGACCTCAGCGGCCAGACCTCAGCCTCGAC